AAATGGTATTCCAAAAGCATTTATGGGTGGGCCTTCTTGGGATGGTTTTGAAAAGGATACCAAAAGAAACCCACAGATTTTGGGGGGGTTAAATCATATGCAGGTCGTGTCACGGCCCAAATAAAGACCTCATAACATGTTTTGACCCTTGCACGTTCCTATTTTGAGTGGACGCACATCAACGAATCCCAGGCCAAGGGTGAGTTCCAAAGCTCGGCAATGGGGAAGCAGATCGAACCAAAGGGTTGCGCTGGGACCCCCGACTGACCTTCTGATGTTTTTTTTTGAATATGAAACACCTCCTTTTTGGGATGGGATTTGAAGGAGGCCAAAAGGGTATGGACAAATCCACTTGGAATTGATGGTTCCCTTCTCAGGTTTCCATGCGATTGATTCTCGTGGATAAGTCCATCCTCCAGTTCTCTTGAGAGCCGCAGCAAGTTGATCAAACGGGACACCAAAAAGGAAAAACCATCCATTTGGGGGTTCCCCCCAACAGAGAAGAGCACCGCCTCAGATCTGCGGAAGTACTCCCTAAAGATACCCCGACAAGAGGGATGGGGCATGATGCCTGGGAAAAGGGCTCTTTTCCGCAGGTTGTACCCTTCACATGCCAGCCGTCTGTGCCCATAGAACCCAAGAGGGGTCTTTGGAAACCCATCTGAAACACGCCTGAAACTTGGGGTCACTTGACGCCTAGCTGAAACCTGCCTCCTTGGTCGCTGAAGTCAAGGGCAACTCAAAGAACAGAAGAAAAAAAACCAAAAAAAAAAATGCCAGCCCCGCTGCATACTCACATGTCCAAAATCCCAGTACAAACAGCAGTGGTTGGGACCCGGGCGCCGGTGTGCCTTTGGGTTAGTCAGGGGTCGCTGGCTAGGTCCTCCAGTGGAGAGCTTAGAATAAGTTGGTACCAACTTCTTTGTTTCTTTTTCTGTAGTCCATCTTAGTAGGGTCCCGAACCCTCCCAACCAAAAGAAGGGGGTTAAGAAGGGCACCTAGCTCGCTGGGACGGATTTCCACCTCCCAAAGGTTGAGCCACCAGGTCCGGAGCCCATTGAAATGAAGGCGGAGCCCTGAAACCCAGCGGAACACCGCCAGCTGTTTGGGGGGGGTGGTCAACCAAGGAAAAACAACACAAATCAACAGCAACTCAGAGATCCCACCATACTCACCCAACATTTTTCACATCCCAAACCACGGTTGCCAGTCACAATCAAATATCCCGGTACCCAAGAATGGTCGTAATCCCAGAAGCATGTGAGGAATTAAGAAGGCGGATATCCGCGGCGATTTATGGTTGGGATCGTCCTTTACTAGGCGAACCAGCTATCCGAATCGGTTTTGAGCAAGCGGCTCACCTGAACCTCGATGCTTTGTGAATGACAACGAGGCGAGCGCCACTTCTGCGGCGCTGGTGTCCACCATGTAGGCGGTGAGGACCTCAAAGGCTCAGGTTTGATATACCCCTTGCTCCAAATACCCGTTGTGTTCAGGGTATTTTTTGCAAAACCTGGTTTTTCACAGCTAATACCTCCTTTGTTTAGCAGAGGGTCGACATCATACCCAAAAAACAGCGGGTATTTGGAGTAGGGGGTAACCTAATTTCGCCTCTATGGGTGGCGCGTCATTTTGTTGGTGCCCTTTTGGATCTCCAAGCGTAGTAAAGCCTAAAGACTCTGTGGGTGGGTCGTCTTCTTTGGAGTTGCTACAACTTGTTGGCTTTTGTTCAGGGAAGCCAACTTTAAGGGGGGTTGCGATTCCTGTGTTGAGACAAATCCAGATGGGTGTTTCTGTGTGCTGTTGAAAAGGGCAGACCTGGGTGGTTGAAAGGTTGGAACACCCAAATCCATTTTGGTCCACATCCCCGCACATCCCTATATTGACCCCATTGAATCAAAACCTAAGGACAGCAGTACCCAATGGTTGGTCCATGAACTTCAGGCCTTTGATCTCCGAGACCCCTCCCGCACAGCTGGACCGAACTACCCTATGGTTGACAGGTCGATTTTCAGCCCCGAGATGGGCCCCGAAATGTCCTTTTGGCTTCTTTAAGGCAAAGTGGTATAGAAGAGGTGACCGCAAGACAGGCACGAGATGAGCCATCTCTCTTCAGGTGATCCTAGCCCAACCTTCCGCAGGAAACGACAACACAGCGACCAGACTCGATATCCTCCCAGCGACTTTTCCATGGAAGGGCAGGACCCCTCTAAGATGACTTTCCTCTTGGAAGGGGGGCTTTTTGCGCACTTCAATGTTGGTGGCAGGGTATTCCGCAGATTTCAAGACAGGAGACTCCAAAGCTCGGGCACTTGCAATATCACCCCAAGAAAGGGGCAACAGAAGTTGCAGGGCGAAGCCTGGCGAAGGGGCCCTGCCATTGCTGACGTCCCCTGGCAACAAGGAAGATACTTCCAGTGACAGAAGCCTTGTAAACCCAGGGCGCAACAAACACATTCGGCAAAACACATTTCCAGCGACAAGTTCCGATTCACACCAAGAGATAGACACATATGACACATGAAGCGCAAATTACAAATTGCAGAGATATGGAACCACTGCACTTCACCCGCGGCTCGACTGGGCGACCGCGCCAATCCGGAGGCCAACGTAAAGAGCAGCGCTGAGATCACAAAGCGCCAAAGCTGATTCCAAGACCTCAGCTAAAACCCCGTGCTTGCAGTTACAAAAAAAAAAACACGACTAGTTCGCAACACCTTCCCAAGGGGTTGTGAAGTTCGAATCAAACCCATGCTACTTTCTTGGGGTTGTCACATAAAAGGCATCCCAGGGACCCCTACAAAACATGAACAGAAGCAACGCACCTAAGAACCAACGCACCAAAGGACCTCAAAAGCATGCAAACAACAGTGAAGTTGAGCGTTGTCAGCTCGTTCGTCATTGAAACTTTGTCTCAAAGGAGGCTCATCTCTCAAAGGCTCAAGATGTCGGGGCAGAACCTTCCCCGGATTCCCTCGAACAGAACCTGGGCGTTTTGGAGCCTGGTGGCTTTGTGTGGCTTTCCAAACCCCCCTCAACCCCTTCTGGCAGGCGCTGAAGGCAACCCCCCCCCCACAACGCATGGGTTGGATAACGGGAACGAGGGAACCGAACCATTGCTCCCAACACACAAGAAATTCGGAATTCCCCGTACCAAGAACCCCAAACCGAATTTCAGATTCCTCATATTCTGTCAAACTAACTTTGGTCATCAGACTTAGACTAAAGACAACAACCCAAGTTTACAAAGCCATATCTGAGGAGTCCCCGGCTCTGGGGGCTTCTTCTTTTTTCTTTTTTTCGTGTGAGTGCTTCTTTTTTGTTCGAGGCTAGCCTGAGTGAAACTTGGTCAAAGTGTTCGGGTTTGCAGTTGGTGCCCTGTTTGGAGTGATGTCTTGTTGGGTGCCTGTGTTCGGGCTAGTAAGAGGAAGCCAAAGGGAAAGCCAAACTCGATTCCGGATGGGCTTTCTAGATCGCCTCTTCGTAGTGCGTGCGCGTGCAAAGGAAGCCAGCTGCGAAACCGAGCTCCGGCTTTTGTTGTTTTTTGGTTCTGCCGAGCCATGCGAAAGCTTTGCCATTGGCTTCAAGAGGCAAGGAGCGAGCCATTGCCTGGTGCCTGGCTTGGTTGCAAGGACCCCTCTGCAACAAGTCTTTGACTGTTTCTGGGTTCAACGGAAAGCCCCACGGACATCAACCCAAAAGGTTAAAAAGTCGAGGGATCCGCTCCCAATGGCAATCAAGAGTCAAGCAAGGTTCAACTTGAAGGTCCTCCAGATTTGAGAGGTTAGAAGTAAGTTGGTACCAACTCTTTTTTTCTGTAGTCCATTAGGGGAACCCTCCCCCCAAAAAGGGGAGAGAAGGGCACTGGGAGACCTCGCGAAGCTGGCTGTTCGGTGACCATTGGACGCCCTTTGCTTAGCCCTCCCATGGCCGAATGGCAGAATATCCACACAGCCCTCCATAGCGAAGGTCACCACCGCGGAAAGCACCTCATGCGAGGCGAAATGTTGGTGCCAAGCACCTGCCTTAAACTTGGTTGACGTTGGAAGGGGAGCAAACAATGAAATTTTAGCAGTTAAGTGGTTAGATTTCAACCACTAAACCACAACAAGCAAAAATGCAACATGTTTCCCAACAACAACCATGCAAAGAGGGTTCCCTCTTTTGGATTACCCCAAGCTAGACTGAAACCTAGGACTTGCTTGAATTTGTCTAGCCGTACCTTCTTGTTCCACTCGAGTCAGGGGTCCTTCTCTTCAAATTCTAGGTCAACCCCTGGGAAAATGAGTGCTTTCTAAAGAGAACGATGGGTGAAAAAGATGCGAACTCCATCCTTAGAATTGTTGGACTACCCAAGGTAGACTTAAACCCAGGGCCGTTGATCTAGCAAATCCGGGAAGCCGATTGGTTTAAGTCCACCTTGGGGAAATCAAACAGATATTGAAACCAGTGCATTCAGCCAGTGGAACACGTGATGTAAAACCTGGAATTAAAACTCCCAACAAATAACCTAGGATCCAGCAGCTCTAGGTAACCCTCCGCCATGTACCTTTTGGGTGTTGGAGGGCTGGCTCCCTCAGCTACCGCCAAGCCGCTACCGCCAAGCCTAAAACAATGCAAAATTGCAATAGAGATCCCGGAACTGTCGATTACACATCCCTATGTTGGCCTTCCTTTCAATCTTCAGGAACAAAACACATCCCTATGTTGGCCTTGCTTTCAATCTTCAGAAGAAAAGAAAACGACGAAAAAACACGGCCACCCCTCAACCAAGCTCACAAGTCTCAGCCACGTTTTTCGTCAAGCACCTGGGGTTTCATCCATCCCAACTGGCGCGAAGCGGATTTCGCCCATCCGCAGAAGGTTCCAGGTCCAAGTGAGAAAACTCTCCTCTAAACAGCCATGCTGTAAAAGCATCTCGGCTAAAACTGTTCCTCTGCCAGATCTGATTCCCCGACGTGTCAAGAAACACCAACCGGTCGAATGCAATGTCAGGATCCCAATATATGGCATCTGCATGCAGCATCAACAGGAAAAGTGATGGACTGAGTAAGTACAGGGAAGCAGAACAAATCAAGCTGTACGGAGTGACTGGCAACCACTCAAAACTCACATTGGGTCTTGTCGCGCCCTTCACGAACCACCAACCTTGCCACTCTTGCCCTCCTCCTTCTCGCCAGTGAAAGCCTTGGTCGCCTCAACGGGCCCCGTCTGCTTCGCGGCTTCAATGCCTTCCTTCACCTTCTCTTTGGCGTCAGGCACATTGGGCTTCTCAGCTTGCACACCAACCAGCTTGTGCTTGAAAGCCTCATAGCCGTGAACCATTTTCTCCTGCGCAGCGGATAGACCGCCTTGCACCTTGTCCATGAACTGTGTCTCGTCTGAAGGGTTCTCAGCCACTTGCTGCACCTTCTCCTTGGCAGCATCGTAGCCCTCAGCCGCCCTGTCTTGCGCGGTCGCAAGGCCTTGCTCGATCTTCTCCTGCAGTCCGTGGTCCTCTGTTGTCGTGGCAGCATCGTAGCCCTCGGACGCCTTCTCTTGCGCAGACTCAAGGCCTTGCGCGATCTTCTCCTGCAGGCCCGCATCCTCGGCATTATCATCCTGGGTGGCCTTGCCACCCACTAGCTCCTTCGTGGCCTTGTAGCCTTCTGCAGCTGTCTGCTGCGCTGCTGTCAGGCTCTGGCTCACTCTTTCCTGGAGCGGCCCCTGGCTGGACATAGCGAGATGCTAAAGGATGGAGGCTGTGCACGCGATGGATGGGCTTGGTCCAGCGAGCACGCCTCTCCTTTGAGACCAACATGAAACAACCAAACGCACAAAGCCACAAACACATGCATACATGCAATTTGCAGGCCAACAAAGAACAACCAACCAACCAACTAACCAACCACCCACCCACCCAGCCAGCCAGCCAGCCAACCAACCAACCAACAAACAAGCAAACACACAAACAAAACAAACAGCAACAAGCAAGCAAGCAAGCAAGCAAGCAAGCAAGCAAGCAAGCAAGCAAGCAAGCAAGCAAGCAAGCAAGCAAGCAAGCAAGCAAGCAAGCAAGCAAGCAAGCAAGCAAGCAAGCAAGCAAGCAAAGCAAGCAAGCAAGCAAGCAAGCAAGCAAGCAAGCAAGCAAGCAAGCAAGCAAGCAAGCAAGCAAGCAAGCAAGCAAGCAAGCAAGCAAGCAAGCAAGCAAGCAAGCAAGCAAGCAAGCAAGCAAGCAAGCAAGCAAGCAAGCAAGCAAGCAGCCAGCCAGCCAGCCAACCAACCAACCAACCAAACAAACACACAAACACACAAACACACAAACACACAAACAAACAAACAAACAAACAGACAGACAGACAGACAAACAGACAAACAAACAGACAGACAGACAAACAAACAAACAAATAGACAGACAAACAAACAAACAAACAATCAAACACACAAACAATCAAACACACAAACACACAAACAGACAGACAGACAGACAGACAAACAGACAAACAAACAGACAGACAGACAAACAAACAAACAAACAAACAGACAGACAGACAAACAAACAAACAAAAACAAAACCCAAAACAAACAAACAAACAAAAACAAAACCCAAAACAAACAACCAACTAAAAACACAACCAAAACAAATAAACAGAGCAACAACTACACCAACCAAACCAGAAGCCAACAAATCTTCAAACGCTTTGACAAACAGACACGTAAGCACACAAATCCCGTAGAAACACAACGGGGAAACATTCAAAAGAGAGCCATACTTTGGCTGGGAAACACAGCCGCGGCAAATGCAGCAAGGTCAACAGCCAGGTATCTTCCCTAAAAAAACCAGGGTTGCTTTCTCTTGTTGCTAGTTGATCATAGAGGGAAGCCCTGAAAAAGAAGGGACCAAAAGGCGAACACCCGTGGAGCTCTGGCTTCACTTTTCTGACAAACTTCGCATGCCAGAGCCGAGGCTGTTTCCCGGCTCTGAGGAAAGTCCAAGGTTGCCCTTTCCTCGATCGATTAAATTCGCACGCGGACGAATCGATTCGTTCGCGTGCAGCCAAACACATAGGGCGCAATTGGGCGTAATGTGCGCTCAAAGGAGCTGAGAACAAACAATTGTTTTGCCGAAACCTTGACGACAATGCGGGTGCGGAGCCCAAAACATGGATATGCTTTTCCGTTAGGTTGCTCTTTAAACAAGCCAAACAGGACGTGTCTCAACAAAAACAAATGCAATCAAGGGGGAACCCCGAAAGGTTAGTTGAAAGGTCAGCTTCGGATTGAGCAACTCAACGGGCCCGGTGGTTTGGTCATTCTTTCAGGAGGGGGGCGACCCATTTCAGAGGATCGGGAAACAGCAACCCTATAAATCTATCAAAATGATTCCGGGGTCCACATGTTCACCAACAGGATAAGGATTCCTGTCACGTACTACTTCTGGCGTATCCAGAATGGTTCTTAATTGCATGACCAGAAAAAGGGGGTTCTAGCCAAAACAGAGTATGTCTTCCCAGTGAATTTGGGTTAAGACCTAGGGTGTGCAGAACCCCTTGAGAACAAGTATGGATATCGCAAACAACCCCTTGTAAAATGGGACCCCCTTCAGGGGTAGGTCCAAGGTGGCACGCGAGCCCGGTTTGGTCTGCGTTTCTTCGGGTTGGATTCAGGAATCCTGGACAAACGCAGCTCATTGCACCCTACGGTGGCACTGCAATTTTCGCAGAGGTCTGTCTGCACACATGGAGCTTCCAACGGGCTGGCTAAGTCGCTGCAAGCTCCAGTCTGACCTCTCGGATTGGCATCTATCAGTGATCTGACTTGACACCGGAACAGGAATGGTTTGGCGCGTCAAGGGCGGGAAACTCGGGAGCCTCCAACTTCATCCCTCTAATAGTTGATATCCAGCTTGCAAAACCTCCATGGCCGAAACATAAAACACATCGAACTACAACAAATCCAAACCAGCACGAAGCAACCCTGCCTGCAATACCAAATCAATACCAAAACATCAAGTAGGGCTTCAAGAACCTGCAAAAATGTTGTACCCTGACTACAACTCACCATGCCTTCCCCAAAAAGCAGTCGGTTTTTGTAGGTCTGGCAGTTTCATCGGTTTCTGAGGCTCCTGGTAGGCCCAACTCTGACCTCTGACCTCGTGTTTTTTTTTCCTGATTTCGACCCATTTCGACCCCCAAGTGAGGCCCTCTACTCATCACCCCAATCCTGATATATGATGTAAGATAAGCCCTCAGAGAATTCTTGGGGAGTTGATTCCCCCTTCTTTTCTAAGAAGGATCCCTGGAAAGATGGACATGGAAAATACAGCTAGAACTACTAGGTCCTCCAGTAGAGAGGTTAGAATAGGGGTACCCTTTTTTAAGCAGCCTAATTCAGTAGGGGAACCCTCCCAACCAAAAAAATGGTAAAGGGGCACTACTGGGGGAAGAGAATTATGCGCCAGTGATAAAAAGCTTCCGCTGCATGTTCTGAGATGTTCCAACCAGCTCGATATTCTAGGGGTAACCCCCCATTCTCTCCAGGGATCCCCAAAAACCCTGGGGAAACGGCTGGTTTTATTGAAAAGAACGACGGCTGAAAAGAATCGGGAATCAACCCCTAGAGCTATAAGTATGAGCCGGGCTGCGAACCAAGGCAGATTCAGGGAGACCCAAGACAAAGGCTTCCAAAAGCTGTCTGAAACGTCATGTACCCTAAACGCATGTCGAACATGCATTGGAAGGAAATCGAGCTTTGAAGCTTAACAACCGGTTGTGTCCGATGTGTTTCTAATTGGAACAAGACAAAACTATCAGGCTTACATCAAAATGTACTGCGCAACTGTGAGGCTTGTAACACAACTACGAGTCTTGACAAACAAAATCACTATGAGCATAGGCGGCCTTTTGGAAACATAGATGGGTTTCCCTGGTAAATGGAATCAACCCCATTTAAACCAGGAATCGCCCTCTATTTTTTATTCGCAAACCAACCAAAAAGGACAATGACTATGAGGCGTGCGCTTACACTTTGAGCCTCGCTTTACCTCTTTCCACGCCCTCCGCGAGCTACTGCACTGCCCTTGCCAGGGGCATCGCGGCTCAAACCTCGGCGCGAAAGGATTTGCGTGTTTTTTCTTTCCTCCGCATTTTCCAAGGCCGATCGCGTGAGACACAATCAAACCCCGGTATTAACATGGTCGGAATCCCAATGCTTCAAGAACTAAGGCGGATATCCGCAACTCCTTCTGGCTGGGACTGCCCCTTACTAACCTTCATCTGCCCGGGTTTTGAGCAAGTGGCTCACATCCCTTTTGAGGGTAGCGCCTTTTTACGGGCTTTCAAGGGAAACAAGATCAACTGGATCGCCGTGTTGGGGGCCCCGAATAGGAAAAAAAACACGGCCACATCTAGATCATTTCCTCGGGGGGGGGGGGGGGGAACAAAAAAAAAAAAACAAAAAAACAAAAAGCCTCGGGGCATTCTCATGTGTGTTTTGTTTGTTACACTTTCCACCACCTTTGTGGCAGAACATGTCCACAGACTCGCGGGCGTTGGGGTTGTATTGCGAAGACCTGCCACAGGATACCAAAGAAGTTTTTTGGGAATCCCGGGCAAAATGGGAAATGATGGAACCCAAAATGACAAACCAACCGATGGCAACATGGGCAACATGGGCAAATCCACTGGGGGGTTGGTTTGACCTAAGTAGAACTGGTTGATTTTGCTCGAAAGATGTAGCGGGGGTTCATCACCTTTGCAGGAGAACCACCCTCCCTGGCTTGTTGCGATGCAATTGCATGTTTATTGTATTCGCTGCCCCCCTATTAGTAGGACGGGATCTGGACATTAAAACTACCTTTTGCCCATGTTGCCCTCGGTTGGTTTGTCATTTTGGGTTCCATAATTTCTCATTTTGCCAAACCAACCCCCCAGTGGATTTGTGCCGGCCAGGTGAGTCACCTAATATGGCTGTGTCTTTGAGGGGGCCGCACAAAAAAAAGCTGGTGTCCTTTTTGTTCCCCTGAAAACGGCGGAGAGACCTTCAAAGTTTGAACCCTTCTGTACATGGACAAAATCTGTTCGCACTGCGTCCATCCACAGTAGGAAAAACACAATTGAGGGCACTCAGTTCAGAAGCCAAAAGGGGAACTCTAGAAAAGAGTGGCCCACTCGAATTCTTTGGGACATAAAGGTACCCCCTGATGTTTTGAGGAGCAATCTCAAGCTGCCGTTGGGCAGCAACACTTTCAGCAGCAAGAGGTCAGGTGAAAGGCCTTTTGACTTGCAGAGTTCATGTCCCAAGGGCTCCCGATTCGAATGAGTTTAGCTTGAATACCAGGGTGCCTGCCGGGGTTTTCTTATACGGCCTCCCCCATGTCGAGAAAATGCCAAACCGATTAAGATGCGTGGAAGACCTTATCTTCAATATGGGTTAAAGTTGAATCGGCCCCGCAACTTGAGCAAGTCAGAACAAAATATATGGCATGGTGATATAATAGCATATGCTGATGTCCAGTATATCTTTCATTCATTGTTCATCATTCACTGTTCTGTGCGGTTCAATTTCCTTGAAACGCTTGAAGGCACCCAATTAAACGGACAAACACTACGTAGTGTGGATGGACAAAGTCCCGCACACGTGGGATGGATGAACCCCGTCGAAACTGGGATGATTCTGATCCACATCCACACTATGGTGTCTCTTGGACAGTTCGGGTTTTTCCTTCAGGACCAATATTGGTCGAGTGTGTAGGTCAAACCGTTGGAGGCCAAACGAGCACCAATCC